GTTTATGCCGCAAAAGAACATACAAGATAGTGCTCTCTTAGTGAATGAAATTGTCAAGTACACTAGACAACACTGTAAGAAAGCCGCGGTCCTGTTCATAGACTTCGAAAAGGCCCATGACCATGTGGACTGGGAGTTCTTGGACTGTTGCCTACTCGAAATAAACTTTTAGGACTGCTTCAAAGCACTGGTATCCATCATGCACAGGTCAGCTGCCATAAATATTATGATCAACAGACACCTCTCACCTCCATTCCCATTGCAGACGTCGGTCACGCAAGGGGACCAGGTGTCCCTCATTCTCTTTGTACTGGTCATGGAGGCACTGGCGGCAATTATCAGAGCTACCTGGCCATAGAATGCATTGACATCTCACAATGGTGTCTGTGACATCCTTGTTTGTCGACGATCTCACAGTCTTTCCTATGATCTTTGTTGAGTCTGTCCCAGTACTAACAGACACCATTCAAACCTTCGTGGTTGCAACAAACATGAAGGTTAATTGGGGGACAAAGACAGAGGGATGGTGGTTGTCCCCGCAGGATACCCAACCACCGCAACAGCGGCCGATTTATAGGTGCCCAAGGGAAGAAGCCATCAAAATTCTTGAAATCCGTCCGGCGGCTATGGCCCCCCCAATAGACTATGGTCAGACTCTTGTTTAAATGGCACTGCAAAGACTGGCTAAGTGGGACGACCTCCACACATCGCTGGTGGGGAGAGCCCTGACAGTAAACAATGTTGTTCTATCCACTATCTGGTATAAAATAGCCTTTTGGGAAATCCTAAAAAAATACATTGCGCATTGTAGAAGAGTGTTGTCAGTGTACCTGTGGAGAAACAATCATAAACAGAGGAAATGCCTAAAGAGAATGGCTTGGAGTCATCCCAACCAAAGATGGGGGTGAACCTCACAGCTCTGGGCCCGCCTACGGACCATGGAGAGACGCTGGTCGACCTTGCGATTCAAAGGATGACAAATTGGGACACAAAGCCCACCTCGCTGGTGGGAAGAGTGCTAGCCATCAACAACATCATCTTCGCCTCCATTTGGTACAAAGTGGCCTTCTGGGAAATCGACCGTAAACAACTATCCAGACTTGAACAGGCCACAACGGCGTACCTATAGAAAAACAATCATGAAGACACCCGAGCCATAAGCAGGGTGGCATGAGACACCAAAACACAACCAAGATCAAGAGGAGGCCTAGGGATAATCGATCCGGAGGAAGAAATAAAGGCGCTGATGTTCAAATTCCTGGTTCGGCTCCTGCCGGGAAATAATATCCCGTGGGCCCAGTATGCACACATTTAACTCGGCTGCCTGGCACCACCCTCTCACCCGCAACACGCAGTACACCCCTTGCGGTGGCTAACCAACAGCCAGTGGTCCATCCCAACTGTCCCCAAAACAGATACGGATGACTCATCGTCGACCAGGGCGAAACAGGACATGCGGATCGACACGTTGTGGGCTGCTGTGATTAAGCTATGGAGAGGAAGAGGGCCACATTGTTCAGCCACTCCAACTAGATGGGAGGAAATTTGGCGCCAGCCCGTGTTTGGCCATCAAAAGATTCTGGACCATACAGGCGTGCCCTTCTCCCTACACGGCAAATCCAGATGGCTAAACTGGGTAGAGAAGGGAATATTGTTATGACCCTGGCCAATTTCGAGATACACGTCCACCGGAAAGTACAATGCCATCCAATTTCAGAAAGAAATGAATGAACTTGAGAGGAAAGAGAGAGGATTAGAAAAAGAAGAAGATGTACACCAACAAAAACAATGACAAGGCTCTTCTTTTTCACCCAACAATCTCTTCCTCCTTATCTCCCCCTTCTCTTATTCATGCAAGAAATAATAATACAATGTTGAATGACTGATCCATAATCAATGTCCGAGTCCCTCTTCTACTGCAGGTATCACTCAAGGTCCACCATAGCCATGACCGCCTCTCCCACTCTTCACTCTCATAGGCCGAGGCTATGGCGGACTACTGGGCTCTGCTCAGATGTCCAAAGGACAACCCAAAGCAGCTATGGCTSCTCTAGCTCAGGCCGCCATGMCTGACCCTGCCCCGAAGCTTCTTGGTGTAGCTCTCCCCGGMYKGGGAYTCTCTGCTGYAGYGCCCACCAAGGTGATGAAGATGGCTGCCACCATAGCCAGGWAAGTACCCCTGGCGCTCCTCYCCCTTCCTTCCTTCTTCCTCCKTCTTYCTCCCYCGTGTCCTTCTCCTTCCTCCCCAGCAACGCTGCTCCAGCTTAGCACTGCTCCAGCCAGCACTCCACCAGTGTGTCGCCAAACTTGCACACCGAAAAAGAGGCCGGGTCTTCCGCCCGACCTGAAGATATAGCGGCCTGCTTTGCCTCTTGGGCGGTGACTTCCAGGCCGCTGGCCTTCCCAAGCAACCGGTACCTCCTCCTCTTTTGGAGGGAAACATCATTGTAGACTCTGATATTGCCCCTATAGACCCTAGACTCAGACTTGTACCCGCTAGACCTAGCCTACGCTACATGCCTTTAAAAATGCCACTTTTGTCTTCTTCTGCTCGGCCTCCGGTACCTGCATATTTACCCCCCTGCCGGGTGCGGTACCGGCCTACCCGCTATTTGAGTGTTTTTTCCAGCTGCAACCCTTCAAAGCCACGACCACAGGTAAGTACCGGCCCTGAGGGCCCAACGAACGAACAAGTGCCCTGGCGGGCCACACACACACACTCATACCAACCAGCACTCAGACAGGCACAGTCACACGCACACAAGCCAATCAACACTCAGACAGAGATGCAGTCCAGCAGGCACACACACACACAGACTCAGCAGGCGGGAACTCAGTAGGGCATTCAGTCTATGAGCAAAACTTAGAAATCAGTTGTGTGTTTCAGTCCATGTTTGGACGGGTTATCACACTACCCCCCCCTCAAGAGCGAGGTCCCTTCGAGCGAGTAACTCATTCTAAGTCCTCGGCAAACGCACAGTAGGCGAACAACTTAAATGCAAAGAGAATCCTGGAATACTCTGTCCCAGTGAGCCTTGCTGAGATCTTTGGTGCGGCGTTAACAGCGATTTGTCGCTCGTAGGCTTTAACAATGCGCGGTGCGCTGCGTAGCAGTTCCTGTTTGGAGATCCAGTACAGATCGTCTAACGAGTGATATATAAAATGAACCTAGTACCGTCTGTTTCTCCCCTTGCCTACATGCTGTTTGATTCTATCTATCTCATGCCCACCCTTGATTGCTTGAGGGATCATATCTTCACGGTAGTCGAATGTCTTGGCATTATGGTGGAGATACAATTTAGATGCATGGAACACGGGATATGTGAGCAGGTGTCTACAACGCACGAAGGGCCAAAGTGATCTTCCCCAATTACATCCAAAACTTCCCAAGGCCCGTAGTAGAGTGGGAGGAGTTTGTGTGAGACTTCCTCCTCCTCTGAGAATTCAGACATCTTCACCCAGACATAGCTTCCTACCTGAATCTTCGATGGTCGGCGCTTTTTGTTTGCATGGTGAATCATGGCATACTCTCGCTTGGTCATAGCTGCAATAGCAACTTTGAGCAAGCGATCATACTTAGCCCTGAAGCCGGGCCTGTCGGGTGTTAAGCCAGCTGACTGCTCAGGGAATAAGTAGGAGAGCGGATTACGGATCTGCCAATCGTAGTGCAACCTCTTGGGTGTCATGGCGGTGGCAGAATGGACGGAGTTGTTGTACAACCCTTTAACAGAATACAACTCCTCATTCCATGTCTCCTGGTCTGGAATAATCAACGTGCGGAGAAGTTGAAATACAGTCTGGTTGATCTCCTCAGCCAAACCGTTGGCTTCGGGGTGTCAGCCAGATGTCATGCACAGTTTGATTCCTAGGTTAGACGTGAAATCCTTCCATTCAGTGCTAATGAACCGCGGTTCCCGATCGCTCAAAAGTGTCTTCGGGGTTTCGAATTGCAGAATGTATTTCTGTTGGAATTCACGAATCACTCGATCTGTTGGGGCGTGGGGCGGCAAAGGGGTCAGATTAATAAATTTTGAAAATCGGTCAATAATCACCATGACTTGTGAATAACCGTTTTTGCTTACCTTACCCATGTCAGTGAAGTCGATGGAGACRGACTCCCCGGGACCATCGGGAATGGGTAAGGGTGTGAGTAGCCCCATGGGCTTTTGTCTGCATGGTTTTATCCGTTGACAGACTTGACATTCARCCACAAACTTCTCAGCAGTCCCTTTCATGCCAGACCAATCAAACTGTCTCAGCAAATTAGCGTACGTTTTTGCCATGCCGAAGTGCCCGCTCCGGCCATGAGCCAAATCCAGAAAGTRTGTGCGGAGAGACTCATGGTTGGGCACACACAAACGGTCATGGTTCCCGTAGCGGCGGAATATCAGTCCCTCAAACTCATGAAAATCAGGTTGACCGCCGGGATCAGCCTGTAGCCGCTCAAGGATGGGACTGAGTTCCGGATCCTTGGCGGTGTGCTCTACGAGTTCCTCCTTCAGTTTCTTCCAGAGGTCGTAGGACTTAATAAGGCAAGTCATGTACTGTGGGTGGTGAGACAAAGCATCAACTACTCGGTTATAACAACCTTTCTTATGCCTTAATTCAAAATAAAAAATGCCAATCTCGTGGAACCAGCGAAGCAAGGTAGGGGACAGRGYAGTTTGCTGTTTGATYCATTCAGGGTCTCGTGATCTGAGAAGACCTTGAAATGGCATCCCAAAAGGTAGTGCTTCCAATGATCCAATGCCATGCGCAAGGCATAAAGCTCGCGCATGTAGGTGGAAGTGGCTACCTTGACGYTGGACATGCGTTTGCTGTAATATTCGAGTGGGCGTAAGCCGTCGCCGTCGTCTTGCTGCAGCACTGCACCGATTCCATACTGGCTCGCATCCGTAGTGACTACGAACGTCAGTCTGGGATCCGCAATGCGGAGTACTGGGTAACTTACCAAGGCTTCCTTGAGAGCTCGAAAAACTTCTGTACACGTGGCATCCTAGGAATAAGGCACATTTTTACTGGTTAGTCACGACAATGGACGAACAATGATAGAAAAACTTGGTACAAACTTCCGATAATACGACGCGAGACCAAGGAAAGAACGCAATTCGCGAATGTTCGTAGGCTGAGGCCAATCGCGTATGACCTCAATCTTGGTTGCCTCAGGCTCTAGGCCTGCAGCAGACAACCGATGCCCAAGATAGATGACGCTATCCTTCCCAAACTCGGATTTCTCAAAGTTGAGATGGCGTTGCGTCTTCTTGAGGATAGCGAGCACCTCCTTAAGATGCTTGAGGTGTTCCTCCATGGACTTGCTGAAGATCAGAATATCATCCAGGTACACTACCACAAACCGGTCAATCTGTCCGCGGAGGACCTTGTCCATGAGGCTTTGGAAAGTGGATGGTGCGTTCATGAGACCGAAGGGCATTACGGTGAACTCATAAAGCCTGTCGCGTGTTTTGAACACGGTCTTGTGCTGGTCCGCAGGATCGACTTCAATCTCGTGGTAGCCGGACTTGAGATCGATCTTGGAGAAGACCTTGCACCCACCCGCGACGTCAAGCAGGTCATCTATGCGGGGCAAAGGGTAGACGTTCTTTCTTGCGATGCGGTTTAGACCACGGTAATCAATACACATGCGGAGGTTGCCTCCCTTTTTAGACACAAACAAAACAGGAGCACCAAATTCTGACTCACTAGSCTTGATCCACCCTTTATCGATCATTTCATCGATCTGCCGCCGGAGTTCCTCCAACTCGTCGGGTCCCATTCGATACACATAGCCCTTTGGAGGAACAACACCCTCAACCAAATCGATGGTGTGTCGGACCGATCGCGTGGGGACTCCACGTGGCTCGGCCAGTACTTCCGGAAACTGATCGAGGAGGTTTTGGATGTCTGGTGGGACCGGTGGGGGGCCTGCAAAAGGATCACCTAGATCCGGTCGTAGGTCACGTTGTCAGGCGGCCACAAGTAGTGCGCCGCCTGAAAACGGCAGTTTAGGGGTT